CTTTGCTTCATGAGGATCCAGAAGCAAAGGCAGTCAGAAGGGGTCTCCCGGGCCATCCAGTCTGACTCGGGGGGGGGGGGGACTTCCAATTCCTGGGAAGGGGTCTGCGTGGGAAGAACAATCCACTTCCGGCACAGTCATCCTGGGTGGGCTCACAGGAGTCCACTGATTCGTCCGAGGTGAGCGAAGCTTCCGGATAGATATGCTCGGGGGCTGCGTCCAGAGGAGACACGCGCCCCCACAGACGTCTCATGGGGCCTGAACACCTTGCCCTGGAGAAGCCTGCAGCCCCAGGACCTGTCGGACAGAGGCAGCCGGCATCCCCAGAAAACGAATAGAGAAGAGCATGGCGGCAGCTTGCCACGGGGGGCAGAAACGGCCTCTCAGTCCCGGGTGTTCGGCTTGGGCGAGCTGGTAGCCACTGCCAATCTCCCGCGAGGTTGACGAACGGGCGGTCAGGGCAGCCACTGTTTGCTCGGGGGAGGCGCAAAGACGAACACTGGGTTTCACCACCGAGCGAGCGCTCTCGCCTCAGTGCAGAGCGAGCCTGCCAGCGACGCGGGTGACAGGAGGATGGAGCTCTTCCCCGGCGGGAGGCCGGTCCTCGGCGGGGCCTTCGGCGTCCTCCTGGCGTTGGTGGGGTCCTGCCTGCTGTTCCTCCACCTCACCTGGAGAAGGAAGTTCGGCAACCTGCCCCCGGGGCCGCCTGCCCTCCCTTTTGTGGGCAATGTGCTCCAGGTGGACATGAGGGAGCTGATCAAGTCCCTGAGAGAGGTAAGCCCCCCGGCACCCTGACAGCCGTGGGGTTCTCCCCGCTTGCTGGGCTGGAACGGCCCCGCTGTGGAAGACACGGCAGTGAACAAAGCTGAACATGGCAGCCATTTTCCGCTGGCGTTACGCTAACCCTGCGCAAGACGAGGCGCAGCTGCCCGGCCGGCCGGGCATGTCCTGCGGTGGCGAATTCAGAGGTGGGCCAGGCGAGGGGCTCTTGTGCCACCCGTGGGGAGGCCAGGCCCAGAACCAGACAGCCCTGCCCGGGGGGGTGGGGGCAGGAGGAACCCCGGAATTTGGGGCAGGGGCCTGGTGTGGCAGCGGGGCAGCAGCTCTGCATGCAGCCCCTGGCCCAGCGGCTCGGCCCGGCTCCTTCAGGCAGCTGAGGCGGAAGAGGCCCTTCTCCTGCTGCACCCCTGGCGATGCCCCCAGCGGCGTGGGCGCCCATCCCCGCCCGAAACTTCCTTCCTAGCAGACTTTTCCTCAGCCAAAGTTTGGCTCAATTGTTCAGAATGTTGTGGGCTCCTCCGGTTTAATTATCACCCCCGTGCCCAACAGCCACACTCCCAATGCCCGAGATCTGGAGTTTTAAGGCCACTTTGCTGGAGGCAGCCAAAGGAAGCGGGTCCCCCCCCCCCCGTGGCAACCCAAGGGGCCCCTCGAAGGGAGGAGGCAGCCCCCTCCCCGTCTGATGTGGCAGTGGCAGCTCTCTTGTGGCCCGCCTGCCCCTAGAGGGCTGGGCCCGCTTGGCCAACGGAGCCGGGCCGTCCCACAGTCCTCTCCCCCACCGCCAGCTCAGCAAGACGTACGGCCCGATGTACACCTTCCACCTGGGCTCGCGGCCCTGCGTGGTCCTCTCCGGCTACCAGGTGCTCAAGGAGGCCCTGATCGACAGGGCGGAGGAGTTCAGCGGCCGAGGAGACTTCCCCGCCGTCCAGATGTGGAGCAAAGGCAACGGTGAGCCCGAGGGGAGGGGCCCCCAGAGCCGTTTTCGGAGAGGAAGAGGTTCTGGGGCTCAGCCCGCCTGGGGCCCTCCCTTGCCACACACCCCAGAGGTGCCAGCGGCCCTCACCACGGCGGTCGCTCAGTCGTGTGGAAAAGGCACTCTGCACGCGTTCAGAGAACCCTAGCCTAATGCATTGTTTCTTCACGTACCCCCAGAAAAGACTTCAGCACTGGCGAGAGCTAAGGTGTTGAGCCCAAGCTCAAATGGGCCCAGCATCCCCGCCAGCAGCGGGGCCACCAGCCCTCTGAGTACCTGGGGCTTTGACCCCCCGCCCGGCTGCCTGGGGGTGGGGGGCCCAGCCACAGCCCCTCCGCGCATCAGGCCCCCGGCCTGGCGGAGAGCTTCGAGGGCGCGCAAGGCATGGCCGGGCTGCTGGGGCAACAAGGGGCTTGGGCGGTGGCCGGGTGCCCGTGCCGCCGGCGCAGACTCACCCCCCCGGCCGCCTCCCCCCCAGGGATCGTGTACGGCACCGGTGAGCGGTGGCGGCAGCTGCGCCGGTTCGCCATCTCCACCCTGAAGAACTTCGGGATGGGCAAGAGGTCCATCGAGCAGCGCATGAAGGAGGAGGCCCAGTTCCTGGTGGCCGAGTTCCGGAAAACCCAAGGTCGGCGGCCCTGGGGGACGGGGCCCTGCTCTCCCCGGGGGGCTGCAGGCCAGAGGGGTGCCGCTTCCCCAAACGGCACAGACCTGTGGAAGCTGTGGAAGCATGGCTGGCCGGCCGTCCCTCGGAGAGAAAAGGCTGTTCTACGGGAGACGGCGCATGATTGGGCCGGCCTGGGGGGGGGGCAGGGAGAGCGCACTGGGGTTCTTGGAGCGCACTGGGGTTCTGCTTCTTCACAGGCAAACCCTTCGACCCCACTTTCTTCCTGAGCTGTGCCGGGTCCAACATCATCTGCTCCCTCGTCTTTGGAGAGCGCTTCGAATACACCGACAAGAAATTCCTCATGTTGCTAGACCTCATCAACAGCAACTGGAAGCTCATGAGCTCCACCTGGGGACAAGTGAGTCCAGCCCAGAGGAGAGGAGAGGGAGGGGCGGGGCGGGGGAGCAAGGGTCTTCAGGTCACGTGTCCCACGGCATGAATTCGGTTTTTCAAAACCTGCCCCATTTTCCACTCCAAGGTCTCCATTGCCCCAATATCAAAGAACCAACTGACGGGCTCGGCTCCAGTGCAGCAGCGTGGCTCTGGAGCCGCTCTCATGACAACCGGCCTCGAAAAGGGCCCGGGCGGGGGGCTTGTGCGCTGGAGGTCGCTCACTTGTGTCCCCCCCCCCCCCGCTCTAGCTGCTCTTCACCTTCCCGAAGATCATGAGGCACGTCCCAGGGCCGCACCAGCAGATCTACAAGAACTACCTGAAGCTGGCGGAGTTTGTGGGGGAGCGGCTGGAGATGAACCGGCAGACGCTGGACCCGAGCGCCCCGCGTGATTTCATCGACTGCTTCCTGACCAAAATCCAGCAGGTACCCGGGGGCCCAGGCGGGCAACGCGTCCGTCCATCCGTCCGCAGGCTCCCCTCTCCGCAGGGGGTGGGGGAGCGCAGCGCCCCGCGCCCACCCCTGCCCCGCCGTGCCCGTGGGCCTGCGGGAAGCAACGCCTCCTCTGCCTCGCCCCCGCCCCCGCCCCCCTGCAGGAGAAGGGCAACCCCGACAGTCACTTCAACGAGGAGACGCTGTCCAAGACCACGGTGAACCTCTTCTTCGCGGGGACGGAGACGGTCAGCTCGACCCTGCGCTACGGGCTGCGCATCCTCCTGCGGCACCCCGAGGTGGAAGGTGAGCCACGGGGCGGGTCACGCGTGGGAGAGCAGGCGGGGGGGACCGTCCCGGCCGCCCTCCCACTGCTGGACAGAACCAGGAGGCGAGGGGTCACGGGGCCCGAGCACACTGCCAGCGGGGTGGGGGACTGGGCAAGATTCGCAACAGCGGTCTTGCAAAGAGCCCTGGGGCAGGATCAGACCCGGGCAGGCAAAGAGCCGCTTCTGGGCGGGCACGGAGGCCGGGCGGGCGCTCCTGCAGGAGCCCCCCAGGCCACGAAGGCACTGCCAGCAGCCGGGAGCAGCCTGGATACCGCAGCGGGGCCCCGTTGGAGGGCCCTCTGGAACCATGCGCCTGCCCCGGATGCCCTGCCCCGAGGGGGAGCCGTCGGTGCGGAATCCCCTACTTTGCCCCCCCCCGAGCCACGGCCCCCGCCCCCGAGCACCTGTGGTCCGTGGGAAGCCTTCCGAACGGCCAGTGCCGCCCCCTGCAGAAAAGCTCCACGAGGAGATAGACCGCGTCATCGGGGTGAACCGGAGCCCCTGCATGGAGGACCGGACGAAGATGCCCTACACAGACGCCGTCATCCACGAGATCCAGCGCTACGCCGACATCGTGCCCATGGGGGTGCCCCACATGCTCACGCGGGACGTCGAGTTCCGCGGGTACACTCTGCCCAAGGTTTGTCAAGAGACACCCCTCCTGTGGGACGGCCATGTGCCCGACCCCGTTCCACACCAGTGGGAGGGCATCCCTCCCGGCCCCCCTCGCCTGTGAGCCTGGAGGCTGCGAGGGCTGAGCGGGGGCGCTCTGTCCATGCTCGAAGCCGCTCCCGTCCATATTATGGCATGGCCAGTCACAGGCGCGAGCTAAGGGCAGCCCTGCGCCGGCCTGGGCCGCCCACTGCTGGCCGACCTGTGCCCGGCGGGCCGCTCACCCGCACCATCCTCTGCCCGCCCCGCCCAGGACCTCAACATCATCCCGCTGCTCTGCACGTCCCAGTTCGACCCGACGCAGTTCAAGAACCCCGATTCCTTCGACCCGACCCACTTCCTGGACGAGAGCGGGCGCTTCAAGAGGAATGACGCCTTCATGGCCTTCTCCGCAGGTGCTGAGGGCGGGCGGGCGGGCGGGGCTGGGGGCAGCGAGCGGTGGTCCTTCGCCCGTGCCGGGGCAGAGAGGCCCGGGGTCCACCCCCCGTGGGGAAGGCGCCCACTCTGCCGCCCGGCGCTTCCCCCGGCCTGCTGCGTGAGGGGCGGCTGCGCTCACCCCGTCCCCCTCCCTCCCTGCCTCTCCCCCTGCAGGCAAGCGCGTGTGCCTGGGCGAAGGCCTGGCAGTCATGGAGCTCTTCCTCTTCCTCACCACCATCCTGCAGAACTTCAGGCTGAAGCCCCTGGCGGAGCCCCAGGACATCGACATCACCCCGGAGTCCACCGGGCTGGGCAGCATCCCGCGCCCCTACCAGTTCTGCCTCCTGCCCCGGTAGCGCGCCTCCTGGCGGCGTGCAGGGCGCGGAGAAGCAGCCTCGGCCAAGGGTGGCAACCTCGGACTCCGGGCTACGAGCCCCCTCCCCAGCCGCCCCCTCTCTCCCGGAGCCGCCTCCCCTCCATGCTCAGGCGGACTGCCGCAGAGGGGCCCGTGCAGCTGCGCCCGGTCCCTCTGGCAGCCTGCTGCTGGCCCTCCCCACGGAGCGCGCCCCCTCCGCGTGGCTCCCCGCCACGGCTGGCACACACGCCCCACAAACCTCTCCGTGCCCAGCCTGCTTGGCCAGCGACCTGCGCTCCCTGCACAGAAGAGCAGGCCTGGCCCCCCCCCGGACGCAAACTGGCCGCGGCCACCTGCCTGCCCGCGGGCCTCTCCTCGTCCGGTGCCCGCTGGACTTGCCGCGGCTGCCGCGGGTTTGGGGCGCAGAACGGGTCTGGCTGCAACCTTCCTGAGCCTTCCCGCTTTCTGCCCCCCCCCGAACCCCACACACTGTTGGCTTTCGAGGGCAAGCTGGGGAGCCCGAGGACCCACCCCTCCTGGCCTGCGAAGCTCCACAAGGGCCAGTGGCGCTGCTGGCGCTGTAGAAACCATTAAAGCCATTAAAGCTTTGCCCTGCACTACGAGCAGTTGCAGCCTGACCTGAGTCGGAGGTGGACGTCCTTCCAGCGGGCGGGATCCACTCGTCCCCGCTGCCTTGGCCAGGGGCCGCGTTCCATGCGCCACAGCCAGACCCAGAACGGCAACTGGGGCCGAACCAGTTGCACCGTGGCAGCCTCCCCTGCAACAAAGCGCCTTTCGGGCGGCCTGCCCCGGCCGACACACAGCCCAGCAGCAAGCCCAGAAATACATGCCGAAGGGCCAGGCTAGGGCAGGGAAAGGTCCCCAGCCAGCAGCCCTTGGCAGCTTCGGCGTTTCCCGAAGAAGAATAAAAACCGGTCAACAAGGAGTGCGCCGCGCACGGGCGATGCGGGCATGGCGGGTGCAGAGCACGATGGTGCAGAGCACTGCGGGCATGGCGGGTTTCCAGGCCTGGGCAAAGCCTGCAACTGGTGCCGAAATGACAGTAAGGACGGCACCAGGTCGGCCTCCCTAGGGAAGCTGCTGCACAGCTGGGGCCACGGCAGGGAAGGCCCCCTCCCAGGCAGACACCCCTTTCACTCCCTGGGTGGGACCGTTACACGGTCGCGGAGGGTGAATACCGCACACGCACACGGTCAGCCTTCTGGCAACCTGGGCCCACATCATCAAGGATCTCCAGGGTTAAAGCACCAGCGCTTCGAACCGCTCCCGGCTTTAATGAACTTGAGCGGGCACAGTCAGCATGGCCCGGGACGCGGCTGCAGCCGTGCTGGGCAGGGGCCGGCACAGGCGGGCAGCTGCGGCCGCTCTGCCACCCTGGGCCCTGGCCGAGGCGGAGCGCAGGAGAGGTGGCCAGCGCCTCCTCGCCCTGCCGGCGATCGCCTTGTCCCTGGAAGTAGCCTCCAGCCGGCCACGGTCGAAAGGAGCGGTCGGGGTGCAGAATGCGGGACGGCGCCCAGCTGCACGGTTGCCGTCTGTGCCGCACGCCGGCCGCATCGCTGGCCGGCCGCCTGGGCCACAAGCCAGAGCCCGCCGGGAGGGTGCCCGAGCGAGGCTTTGGCAGTGCCGGCCAGCTCCCACTTCTGCGGTGCTGGCACGAAGCCCCAGCGCTGATGAAACCCAGGCCCTGATTTTGCAAGAAGGGCCAAGGTCAGCACCCTTTCACGAGGGGAAGTTTAGCAGCAAATCTTCAGAGCAAGGTCTGCTGATATTGCAAGGGAGGAGAGGAATGCCGGGGGGGTGGCTGGCATCATCCCAGTGTGCCGCCAGGAAGGGCTTGTGGCTGTCTTCTGGGCAGGATAGGGTGCCAGTGCCAGGGCAGGCCAGGATGGGTCTCCCTGAAAGCCGTTCGCTGGCAGAGGAGAAGCACCGCAGAAGGCGAAGGCTCGGCTCACGCCGAATCGCACCGCCATCGCCCGCAGTGGGCCATCTGGGCGTCTTCATCACTGCGGGCGCCACTTTCCCGGCCGGGTTCGGCACGTTGTATGGAAAGACTGGGACCGGGGTTCCCCTCAGAGAAGCTGGGGTGCAGCGGCACTGGGTCCCCAGCAGGCCAGGCCACACGCACCGGCACGGCAGACCTGCTGCAGAGGAAAGCCACGTGGGCTCCCCGCTTGCCGAGAGACACGCGCAGCCCCAGCCGGCGCCCCCGGAGACAGGAGGCCCACGGGGCGACTTCCCCTCGCTCGCCCCACGTCCCACGCGCGTCCTGTGTGCCTCCGTGGCTCGGGCTGCAGGGCCGTCGCACACATGCATGAACACGAGCTCTCAGAAGATCGTGTATCGTTTCACACAGAATAAGATCCGGGTTTTCCGGGCTCTTCCTGGGTGCCACGCTGTGATTCGGTGGCCTTTCCACTCATTATGCTCTGTTTTAACTGCTCGGTTCCCGCCTGGGCTCCGCTTGGAGGGCCCCCGAGAGGGATCCGCTGTGCTGCAGGCCTTCCCTGGCGGCCTCCGCCCAGGCCGTCATCACAGAGCGCAGGGCTTGAGGGTGCCCTGCGGTTTCTTTGGCCGCCTGGCATTCCCGGCCAGGGGTCATCTAAGCTCTTCTGAACGGCCGAGTCTTCGTGGCCTTGCCAGGACCTGCTGTTCAGGATGGCGGCTCCCGTGGGGCGACACCGGCCCGTTCCCGGGAGCAGAAGGCCCCCCGAAAGCCGCAATGGCCAGGGCGGTTCCACGCAGCGCGGCCCCTCCTGGGGGCAGAACTTCCGCGAGGCCCCGTCCACAGTAGCGCCGGCGTGCGTGCAGGCCGCAGAGGCTGTGGAAGAGCAGCCCCGGGCAGGATCCGTCCCTTCCTCTCGGGGGCTGCGGCTGCCGTGGCGGAGCGCTGCCACGGAAGAGCCGCACGGCCCTCTCAGCACCGCGCGGACGGCCCTGCCGCCAGAGGCGGATCCCCCCGCCGGTCCCTCGAGCGGCTGAGGTCAGTCTCCTCCAGCCGTGGCAGCTCCGGTCGGTCGCACCCAGCAGCGTCTCGGAAGCAGCGGGCGGGCTTCGTGCTCTGCCGTCTGGGAGGGAGGCCCAGCAGGGCCGGCTGGCCGCGCTGCTTGAACGCACGGTCTCCGGCCGGCGGGTCGGCCTCGAGAGCGGCTACTGGGGCCTCTCCTGTGACTGGCGTCGCCTCCGCCTGGCCACCCCACAGCCAAGATCCCGCGAGGAGGCCGCCCCCTGCACCCGGCTGAGCTCAGAGCGTGAGGACCGTGCGCAGAAAGGCCGGCCGTGGCCCCTGCGCCCCGCAGTTCTGGCAGCCCAAGGCACCCGAGCAAGGGCGCGAAGGTGGCCGAAATAAGGCAGAGCGCCCTGGGGCTCCGGCGAGTGCACCGGTGTGCCCGGCTGCAGCCGCGAGCACCGGCCGTGCCGCATGGGCTCTCGCGCGATTCCAGGCCAGGGGAAGGCCAGAGGCCTGGGCGGGAGGCAGGGGGAGTCTGGCTGCAGGCTCAGCTCCCAGCAACTGCATTCCAAACAGACGCTCCCCTGCATCTGGACTGTGTAAACACCCCAGGCCTCCCCTTGCGGATCCCGACATGTAAACACGGAGTCCGGGCAGGGTGGGAGGGAGGGAGGGAGGGCAGCTCGCGCCCGGCACATTTGCAGGCCTGTGCTGGGCGGCTCCACAGCACCTGTGCAGGATCAGGGCCCCTCCAGCCGCCTGGGACGGAAGGGAGCCAGCCGAGCCCACACGCTCCGGGGCCAAGGCCAGAGCGGGGCGGGGGGAGCGCGCGAGGGCCCTATTTAGCCCCTGCGGTCCGGGCCGGGGCCTCCCACTCGGCTGCTGCTCCCTGGCGCCCATGGACCTCGGCGCGGCTGCCCCCCTGGCCTTGCTCCTGCTGGCCTGCCTGGCCTGCCTGGCGTTGTACCTCAATGGGAAGCAGGGCGGGAGGGGCGGGAAGGGCAGGCTGCCGCCCGGCCCCACACCACTGCCGCTGCTGGGCAACCTCCTACAGCTGGACCCCAACGAAATGCACCGATCTCTGGAGAAGGTGAGAGCGGGGAGCTGCCCGGGCTGGGGGCTGCCGGGGGGCGGGAGTCCCTGGCTGCACTCACGCCGGCGGAGGGTCCTCTCGCACTGGGCCAGCCGCGCCCCCTGAGCCGTGCTGCCTCACGGGCTGTTGCGAAGGCCAAATGAAGAGGAGGAGAGGCTTGTGAGCTATGGCTCGGGATCCTAGCAAGAAGAAGAAAGGCAGGAGGCCAACGGAGCAGCGGCAAAGCGAAGGTTTAATGCGCAAGGAGAGATGCAACATGGCGGGCGGCGAGCACACTGCCCCGGGAATTGGGAATCAGCAGGTCCTCGGGGGCCTGGAGACCGACGGGTGCGGGGGCCGGCCGGCTGCTCCGGGATCCATCCCAAAGCCGGGTGCCGCTGCAGAGCAGGCCCTCTCCTTGGTGGCCCCGCTTTTGCGGGCACTCCCAGAGGAGAGGGGCCCCGGCCTGTGTCCGTGAGAGCGCAGCCGGGCTCGCCGGGCTGCTGGGAGCGCCGGGCGAGGAGGCCGCTGGGAAGCCCTGCCAGCCCACCGCCTCCTCCCCCCCCCCCCCCCCCCCCCCCCCGGCAGCTCGGCGAGAGGTTCGGGCCGGTCTACACCGTCCACCTGGGCTCGCTGCCCTGCGTGGTCCTCTGCGGCTACCAGGCGGTGCGGGAGGCCCTGGTGGAGCAGGCGGACGACTTCAGCGGCCGCGGGGACTTCCCCGTGTTCCACCGCTTCACCCGCGGCAATGGTAAGGCGCTCCCCGTCCCCCGCTTCCGGTCCGGAGCCGGAGCCGCGCCGGAGGCAGCCGGCCTCCCTTTCCTCCTGGGAGGGCACTGGAGGGAAGGCACAAGCCCTGCTCCGAGGGGCGGGGGGCCGCCGGGGCCGGGGTCCCCGCGAAGCCTCCCCCCCCAGGGCTGAGGCCGGCACTGCAGAGGGGAACGAAGGCGGGCGGGGGCCTGAGGAGGGTCTCTCCTTCCGGAGGCATCGCCTTCTCCAACGGGGAGAAGTGGAAGACGCTGCGCCGCTTTGCGCTGCACGCGCTGAAGAACTTCGGGATGGGGAGGAGAAGCATCGAGGTCCGGATCCAGGAGGAGGCCCAGTGCCTGGTCCAGGAGTTCCGGAAGACTGGGGGTGAGTGCCCGGCCGGGGCCCATGAGGGGTGCAGGGGCCGAGGAGGGCTGGGCGGAGGCGTGGGGGCAAGGGCCGGGCGGGGGCAGCCCCTCCGAGCTGGGGCAGGGGCGCCGCTGACAGGCGAGGCGGGACGGGACGGGACGGGACGGGACGGGGCAGGGCAGGGGTTCCCCAATCCCCGGAGGGCCCGAGCAGCCGACCCCTGCGGGAGCCCGCTCCCCCCGCAGAGCACGGCGCTCCCGTTGCAGGGGCACCCTTCAACCCCCTGGACCTCGTCTGCCGCGCCGTCTCCAACGTCATCTGTGCCGTGGTGTTCGGCCGCCGCTTCGACTACGAGGACGCCGCCTTCCTCGTCCTGCTCAACCACCTGAACGACAACTTCAGGATCATGAGCTCCGCCTGGGGAGAGGCAAGCGGGACGGGGGGGGGGGGGGGGCAGGATGGCCGGGCCACCCTTCCCCGGCAGAGGAGCTGCCTGCCGCGGTGCAGGGGGGCTTCTCTGGGGCGCAGAGGGGTGGGGAGCCCCCGTTCATCCTCGCTGGCCTGCCTGCCTCCCTCCGTGTGCAGTCAGGCAGAAGAGGATGGGGGGGCTGTAACGGGGCTGCATTTCCTGCAGTGAGGAAGAAGATGGGAGACGGCGGGGGGGGGGGCGAGGGGAAAAGGGACAGAATCCCCGGCAAACTGCTTGGAACAGGGCAGAGCAAGGGCGCCGTGAGCCGCCGGCTGTGCCTGGTGGCCCCTCTCCCTGCAGACCCTTCCCCGCTCAAGTCGAGCTGGCTTCTCCGAAGGCCAGCGGGGCAGCCCCCCCCCCCGGTGCGGCAGCTGCCCCGCTGTACTGGGTGAGCTTCGCGGGCAGGGCCGCTCGCTGCCGCTCCGCTCCGTCACTGCCCGCATTTCGCCCTGCCCTCGCTGCGTGGCGGCTGCTGCCCCCTTTTGCTCCGAGGAGGAGGAGGACAAAGTGCCGGGGAGGGCGAGGAGCCCCCACCCGGGAGCCGGCCAGGGGTCTCCAGGGCACGGGCAGATCACTCTTGCCGGGCTGCCATGAACGCGGCACGAAGGCCGTGCGGCCTCCTTCGGGTCCTGCCCGGCGGCTTGAGTTCACGCAGGGGCGAGGCTGGCAGAGGGCGGCTGGGCGTCAGACCGCCCAGATTAGCTTCCGAGGGCGTTTTGCCCCCGTGTGCAGCCCTGCGGTGCAGCTTGGCTGCCTCCTGGGGAAGCCTGGGGCCCTGCCGGTCGGATCCGGAGGTTGCGGGGTGCGTGCCTCTCGGGGGCAGGTGTGGGCCGCATCTGCGAGGACGACCCTGTGGCTGCGCCTCCTGACCCGCCCCTTTCCTTTCCCAGCTCTACAACATTTTCCCGCGCCTCATGGACTTCTTGCCGGGGCCTCATCACCAGATCTTCCGGAACTTCGAGAAACTGCGCCAGTTCATCGCTGAGCGCATCCGCCAGCACCAGAGGGACCTGAACCCCCGCGAGCCGCAGGACTTCATCGACTGCTTCCTCGTCCGCATGGAGCAGGTGCGCCCCTGCCCGGCCACGGAGGCTCCCCCCCAGGGGGCACCGCCCGCCAGAGGCCCCGTCCAGCATCGCTCCTGCCCAGTCCTGACGCTCAGGAGGGCTCAGGGGAGTCGGCCAGGGAGGCGGCAGAGGCCGCCCCAGGCCTGCCCTCCGGCCCTGCTCGCCCCCAGGGGCTCTTCCCAGGGAGACCACGCCTGCGGGGGCCCAGCCCACCTTCCCGCGCAGTCGGCTCCCGCTCCCCCACGCTTGCCGGCAGGACGGCCGGGATGCTGTGGTCGTGGCAGTGCCAGGGACCGCAGGGGCCAGGTGGGCGCTGCATCCGGGGCCATGTGGGGGGGAGACCCAGAAAAGACTTTGCACGCGCACACACATGCGCACACGCCCACAGGTGGATCAGAGGCCGGCCTGCCTGCACAGCAGCCACCCGCTTGAACAGGGTGCTTGGAGCGGAGGAGGTGGCACGTTTCTGTGTGGGGCTGACCCAGGACCGGGCAGTCTGCCCACCCGCAGCATCCCTGCCGGCCGCCATTTCCGGCGGCTCTCCCTGTTGGAGGCAGGGAACTGGGGAGAGAGGGCGGCTGTGCGGCGGTGGGGAACATCACAGGCCTGAAGGGCAGCAGAACACCCGCGACAGAGCAAACCCTGCGCCATATTAGCTGGGCCCCCGGTCTTCACCGTGGGGCCACGGCGGCCATTCATGGGGTCCCGAACCGCCAGGCCAGCGCTCTCCGCACCAGCAAGGGGGCTGCGAGGGCTGGACCGGGGGCACCCCTGGCCCAGCCCGAAAGAAGGAAGGGGCCCAATCCGTCCCGTCTGCATTGCCTCCTGCTTAGGAGAAGCAGGACCCCCTGAGCCACTTCCACATGGAGACCCTGGTGATGACCACCCACAACCTGTTCTTCGGGGGCACCGAGACGACCAGCACCACCCTGCGCTACAGTTTCCTGATCCTCATGAAACACCCCGAGGTGGCAGGTGAGGGGGCAGCCAGGGGCGCGGGGCGCGTCTCCCCAGGAGCTGGCAGTACCGGCGCTCTGTGACGGGCGGGCGCCCTTGCAGCGGTCCGAATGGAGCGGGAGGGCGGTCCTGCCTCACGACGGCACGGCTGCAGCCGCCTGAGTGGCCCGGCACCTCGACCCACAGTGGGGGCCGGGCTCTCGGGCCGGTTCCGGGCTAGGGAGGCGCCGGGAGGAAGCAGGGCCCGCCGGGGCTGCACCCTCCCTCACCCCCCGCCCCGCAGCTCGAGTCCACGAGGAGATCGACCGCGTGATCGGGCCCGAGCGCACGCCCTGCCTGGCCGACCGCAAGCACATGCCGTACACGGACGCCGTGCTCTACGAGGTCCAGCGCTTCATCTCCATCCTGCCCATGGGGCTGCCCCGTGCCGTGACGCGGGACACCCCCTTCAGGGGCTACCTGCTGCCCAAGGTGAGGGATCCCCGGCCCAGCGGCCCGACCTGCCTGCCTTCCGCCCAGGGCTCCCAGCAGAGCCGGCACTTGTGTGAGCGGAGAGCCGAACAGCCACAAGGGCCTCGCGGGGCGGGGGGGCACAGGAAGGCCCTGGCGAGCCTGGGGGGGCTTGCGGGGGGGGGGGGGCGGTGCTCCTCCCCCTACAGCTGTGGTGGCAAACCTATGGCAAGCATGAGGGTTAGGAAAACGGGGCGTCCTGGTGCGATTCTGATGGTTGGAATGAGTTTAGAAGGGGCAGAAAGGATGAGCTGCGCAGAAAAAACTCCTCAAGGAGGGCTTTTTCAAATTCACCCTATTTCCAATGGAACTTTACCCCTCTATTAGGGTGAGGGGGGGTGCACCAGGGTAGGGTCAGGGCAGTGATGGTGAACCTACGGCACGTGTGCCACAGGGGCACGCAGAGCCCTCTCTGTCGGCACACAAGCCGAGTTGCCCCAGCATCGCCCCAGCAGCCGAGCATCGGATAGCAGCGCACACGGGGGCCATGCGCATGGTTGGAAAGGAGGGACGGCGCCAGGCGATGACGTCACGGGCCACGACTCATTAGCCGCGACTCGTCCAAGTTCACTGCCAAGTTTATACATACATTTGCTTGGACTGGCTGTGGGTTGTTTTTTCTCAACTAAAACCTCGGTTTTCAGGCTTTATTGCAGAGTTTGCGATAAGTAAGTGGGTTTTGGGATGCCGTTTGGGCACTCGGTCTCTCAAAGTTTCGCCACCCCCGCCCTAGAGGAGGCCCTGGCTCGCTAGGCTGGCTGCCAGCCACCTCGGCCCAAAAGGCGTGGCGGCTTGGGGCCTCCCCTGGACCAGCACCCTCTGCCCAGCCAGCCAGGGAGTTCCCGGGGTGGGACTGGACCCCCGGCGGAGTGTGCGGGCAGCAGCTGCCACGCTCCCGCTGGCTCCCTTCCGCGCTGGGGGTGCTTCCTTCCTTCCCCCTGCCCCCCGGAACCGTGACGGCTCCCCTTCCCTCTCCACAGGGCACCAACGTCATCCCCTTACTGAGCTCCGTCCACTACGATCCCAGCCAGTTCAAGGATCCGACTTCCTTCAACCCAGCCAACTTCCTGGGCGAAAACAACGAGTTCCGAAGCAGCGATGCTTTCATGCCCTTCGCCCCAGGTAACAGTGGGGGTCCCAGCGCGCGGCTCAGCGCCGCCCCGAATTTTTATTTTATTTTATTTTAATTTATATATATATATATATCCTGCCTTTTTCCTGCAAAGGGCTCAAGGCAGCTGACATCATCCATCTTATCCCCGCAACAAGGCACTGAATGGGGGCTTTGCTGCCTAAAATCTGGCAAGAGCCTGCTGGCGGCAGCACACTCCGGGGGGGGGCGGGGGGGGCAGGAGCTGAACGACTCGGGGAAGCGCGCAGACGAGCGCCTCCGTGAGCCCCACGGGGAAGGCAAGAGAGGTGGAGCGAGGCATGTGCAGGGGGCAGATTTTTTTCGGGGGGGGCCTTGCGCATGGAAGCCAAAGGTTTCTTGGCGTCCTCAGAAGGCAGCTTCCGACATCCCATGAGCATTAACTCCAGATAGGCGCACAATGGCCTCCCCCCCCCCCCGCATGCCCAGAGAAGCCCAACTTCACGAGGCCAGCCTCCTTTCGGGAAAAATGCCCAAAGGGCACCTGCAGAACCCCATAGCGGAGCCCTCCCCAAGCTGAGAGGGACCTGGGCTCGCCTGGGGGTGATGCCCCCCAGGCACGGCCCCACGGCGGGGGGGGGGAGGCTGCCCAGCCGTGGGGGGGCGCTGGGGACATTGCCCTTCGCGCCCGTTCCACCGCCGTGCCTCGGCACCGAAAGCCGGTTCTCCGGGCAGCTCCAAGCCTCGGGCTTGACGGGCTGCCAAGGGATGCCAATAATTGGGGAAAAGGGGGCGCCTCCCGATGGACGACCCAGCTCTCCGGCCGCCTGTCCTCTGCTCCTCACCCCCAGGGAAGCGCATCTGCCTGGGAGCCGGCCTGGCCCGCATGGAGCTCTTCCTCTTCCTCGTCACCATCCTGCAGCGCTTCACGCTGCGGCCGCTGGTCAGCCCCGCGGAGATTGACCTGACCCCGCAGAGCACCGGCCTGGGCAACGTGCCGCGCCCGTTCCAGCTCCGGCTCCTTCCCCGCTAGCGCTCGCCAGCCCAGCAGCCCCTGGCTGGGACCCTGCCTCACCGCCCCTCCGGCCAGCAGCGCTCCCGGCGCTCGGCGGGGTGTCCCGCCCGCCCGCCCGCCGGCCTGCCGCCCGCCCAGCCCCACTCGCCCACGGCCGCCGGTCTGCTGTGCCGCCGAGCCTGCGCATCCCCGCTTGGCAGCCCCGGTCGACTTCACCCCCCACCTCAGGGCCCAGGGCCTCTCTTGCCGCCGAGCACCTCCCGGCCAAAGCCTGCTTTATGCCACCCCTCGGGAAAGCCCCACATCACCAGCTCTCCTCTCTGCAGCCGCCGCCCCCTTCTGGCTCCCGCTGCTCGCTTCCGACCGAGCCGGCCTGCTCCTTGTTCCCGTGGGAACGCGCCCGCTTAGCCCTTCAGGAGCCCCATCCTGACACGGGGCCCGAGGGCTGGCAGCCACCGGCCGGCCTTGCACTTCCACGGCAGGGCGGGCAGGTGCTTCTCCGTTCCCGGGCACCCAGGGCTTGCAGAAGGGCAGAAAAGGTGCAAGACGCCGACCAGGGCCTGATCCGCCTGCCTGGGCTGGAGGATTTTGCCCGAAAGGGACGCGGCTACGGCACGCCCCCTTCACTGCCAAAGAGCCGCACGCAGCTTTGCCTGCTCTTGACCGCTCTCCTTTGGGCAGCTGTCCGCGACAAGGGCCGCTTGCGCGGCGCCTTCTCGGTGTCCCTCTTTGGCAGGGCGCGCATGCCAGGACACCGATGGAGCGAGGCGCTTCGTTTCAGACTCTTGCGCAAGACCAGGGGACCAATAAAAATGCAATTCATGTAAATCACAGTGTGGTGTGTGTTTTCCACCATTAGAAGAAAACGGAACCCACGCACTGGTTTGACCAAGCTGAGTCAAGACCCGCAGGAGGAGACCAACTCCTGGCGCACGAAACCAGCGCTCTCTAGCGGGCGGCAGCTGCGGAGACGGGAAGCCGCTCCGGCGGACCCTCCCTGGCCTGCCAGACCCTAGCGCTCGGCCACTCCTGGTCTGCCGCTGGCCCCAGCCCGTGGCCACCACTGGAGCGCCGGCTAGGGAAGCGGAGGGGATGCAGGGACCCTCCCGCTCTGCCGGACTGGCTGCGAAAGAGCCCACCTGCCCAGCCCCATCCCAGGCTAGCTCAGTGCCTCTGCCCTGCGGCCATTTTGCTCAGCACAAGGCATCAGTGGTGTGAAAAATGTGCCGTGTGAGGGCAGATTGGAGCCCCCCCCCCCACGCTGTGGTCAGAATAAAGGCTCTTGATCGATGCAAATGAAGTGGAACACGCACAACGCCCGACAATCACACGGGACGAGATGCCCAGCGAGGAAGTGCTGTGATAACGTGGCCCCCATGCTGGCCGACACACGCCCGCCCCCGGGGGCAGTGGCCTTGCAGAGGACTGCGCCTGAGAGGCCGGGGCCCAGGGCCGCTGGCACCTCAGCCGCGGCACCGCCAGGTTCAACGGGGCAAGGCCGTGCCGCCAAAGGGTGCAGGTGGGCCCCTGCAGGTGTAACATTTGTAAATGGCTTTGCACATTGTGGGGTCCAAGTTTTAAAAATTGCGGGACAACCCGGAGCAGCCCCTCCCTAGGCACGGGGTGGGGGCGTTAGCAGTGGTCAACGTGGGAAGCGTGAGAGCCGGCTTGGTGTGGCAGGGTGTTCTCCATCCCCGGGGGAAACGGGGCGAGCGAAAACAAAGCCATGGCGGACCGGGCATGGCTGGCATCCGTGGCATGGGGGACATCCAGCCCGGCAGCCTCCAGGTGCCACTGGTGGGCAGCCCCCCCCCAGGGGACTGGG